TGCTAGTTAAAAATTTTGAAAATTTAGAGTTTTTTTACGATTTTTAAATTTTAAAGGAGTTTTTTAAAAATTTTGAGGTTAATTTTGACAAATTTTAATTTTTAGGTGTCTAAGGGTAATATCTTGAATTCATCTTATTTTATTTATAAATTTTAAAAATTTAGGGTGGCTTTTTATAATTTGAACTTTTGAAGGTGTTTCTATAATTTTTGAGATATTGAGGATGTTAATTAAAAAATTAAATTTAAATGTCAAAAATTTTAGGTGTATCATGGTAATCTCTTGAATTCATATGTGTTGTTTGTAAGTTTTAAAATTTTAGAATTTTAATGTGCTTGTCTGTAATTTAAACTTTTGAGGGTGTTTCTATAATTTTTGAGACATTAAGGTGTTAACTGTAAATTTTAAATTCTTTACAAACTGATGTTAATTTTTTAATTTTATGTTTTTTATTTTAAGTTTTGAGACATTTGGATGAGTTTTATAATTTTGAACTTTTTAGGGTCTTTTCTGCAATTTGAAAACTTTTTATGGTTTTTTTATAATACTTCATGTATTATAATATGTTATCTACTTATAATTTTTTTTATCTTAACATACTAATATCATTTTTATGTTTTATATATTTTATTAATATTAGTTTTTTTTTAATTGTTAAGCTAAACATGGTTCACATAGGATTAGGATAAGATATGATTATGATTAGGATAGATTAAGATATAAATAAAATATTCAAAATAGTGAAGGGTAATATTGACCATTGAAAATTAGAATTTGTTTATAGATAAGATAGTTCAAACTATAAAGGGGTATATTTGTCTAAAAAAGATTTTTCGAACTCGTGCTTTTAAAGGGAGTATGATTGTTTTGTTTTGGTCTAGCTATACAAATATGAAACAATAGATATATTCATATACATACTCATATGTTTCATATTTATCATTTTGGTTTTTGTAAAAATGCATATATTATGTAAAACATCATTTTTGAGAAAATATTATGTTTGTGGATTATAGACTTGACAATATTGGTTTGTACCTTTTTCTAAGTCTATAAATCCATTCAAGAGTTTTCTAAACTTTGTTTAAGTGTCAAAAATAAGTGTGTGTTGACATTTCATATTTTGACCTATTTTGCAAAATGATAAATTTTCACAATTGGGAAATGAAATTTGAAATACTCTTTTTGTAACATGTTCATTTTCATGTTTATAATCATTTTCAATTTTTTTTGAATATATTTGCTTTTTTAAGGCACATCAAAAATTAGATTTCATACATAAACGGTGCATATGCATGTTTATAAGTCGACTTATGAACTGTTCTGGAAATTATAGTTTTTATCTGCTAAGTCGACTTATATACTCAGCAAGTCGATTTATGATAAGTCGACTTATAATTTGGTGTGCATTTTGTTGTTTTTGTCTGTTAAGTCGACTTGCAGCTCATACAAGTCAACTTATATCAGACAAGTCGACTTATAAGTCGACTTATGAACTAGCCGTTGCACAGTAACGACTAGTTTCCGGATTTTATTTATTTTATTGTTTTTATGGGTTTTTGGTAATTTCTTGGGTTGGTTTCTTCCACCCTATATATACCCTTTTGTCATAACTATTTCTAATCACCAAGAATGTTTTTAAACAAGTTTTAAGGGTGTTTAAGTTTGGTTTAAGATTATTTTCAAGTTTGTGTTTTTGTGTGAAGAAGTTTTCACAAAGAGGGAGCTTACGTCTTTGGTTTGAGGAATTCAACCTCATCCATTCATCTACATCTCTTTGTGTTATTGGAGAAGTTTTCTAAACTCAATCTCTAGCTATTTATATGTTTGATTATCATTTCCATAAGCTAGACTTTAATTGAGTTTATATTTAATTTTACTCATTGAACACTCACAACCTTTGAGCTTTTAGTATTTTACATTAAGTATAATTTGGGTTGTGATGAGTGGTTCTTGAGTGTGAGCTAAATTGAGTTCCCATCCATTATAGAGAACAAAACTTTATAATTGAGCATTCATTGTGAGATTATTTTGTAATTTTGTCCATCGAGAGGGATGTGTGGTGAGAGACGGGGTCGATTCCAAGAGGAGTGGTGTCGGTAGTAAAGCCTAGGAAGAGGTTGTAAATCCGAGCATTTGAGGAAGGCGACACGGGCTAGAGACCAACACTTAGAAGGTGTAAAGTGTGATTGCAAGAGTGTGAGTTGTAAAAATTTTCGGTGAGCTAGAAAACCTAGATTTTGAGGTGTAAATATTTTTGGGTGAACGTCGAAAACTTATTGTGATAGTGGATTCTCCCCGGGAGTGAGGAGCGGAGACGTAGGTCGGAAGGACCAAACTCCGTGATCATTTTCTTGTGTTTGCATTGCTATTTTGTCCACTATCTTGTTTATATCATTTCATGTTTATTTGCCCTTAGTTTGCATATCCTTGCTAATAATTCATTGAATATCAATCTTGCTAGGATATATTTGTTAATAAGTTTTAATTGACATTAATATCGGATTAGATTAGTATTAACCATAGGGTGCTTTCAATTGGTATCATAGCACTTTCAACATCTTCCATTGGACTACATTGAACATGACTCTTTGATCAAAATAATGCATATTTTATCAGAACACCCGCATAAAATGGATGATATAAGTCATTCATGTATACGAATTCAGCTATTTGTTTATTGTACAAACCATCCCTCTTTTATAAAGAGGTATCTAGTAGGATTTCTATTCTTGTACCCTCTGGTAGTATTTCTATTCTTTTAAGGCTTTTTTGTAGATATTAAACCTTTAAATCTAAGCTATTTTGTATTAGTCCCTCATATATGAGTATTTTAGTATTGCTCCCTGATATATGAGTATTTTAGTATTAGTCTCTCATATATGAGTATTTTAATATTAGTCCCTTAAATTGTCTCAAGTTGTTTACATTAGTCCATTAAGTTAGTGGCTGTTAAATTTATAGGGGAATATTCAGTTATCTTTTAACTCTTGACTTTATGAGACAATTGTGCCCCTTGCTAAATTAAAATTTGTCACTACATAATTAAACCCTAATCAAGCTAAATTCATCATTACATAATTAAACCTTAATCATGATTAAACCCATTCTTTTCCCCAAATTTACCACAAACCCCAAATCCTTAAACTCTAACCAAGACATGCAAATGACAGAAACTAGGGAATCTACATTTTCACAACCCCAAATCTTTAGACCCTAATCAAATTGACTACAAATCCAACATCTATAAACCCCTAATCAACTACCATGCATACACATTTTCACAAATGGCATTAATTAATTAAACTACAAATAAATTGAGAAAATCATACAAAAATAAGACAATAAAACATTATAAACCTAGTTGAACTAGGAAAATCCCAAGAACAAATATCTACTGTAAATTGGCCCAATATTAGGGTTTAGTTTATCACTACATAATATTCAGAACAAACTACCAATCTTTAAACCCTAAACACAACAATAAATACCAAAGAATATAGATTGGAAACCCTAAAAGATACATCGAAATTAAGAAATAATTTTAGAGGGATTCTTCTTCTTCTGTCTCGTGGGGATTCTTCTTCTTCATTTTGAGGCGAGGAATTAGACTTGATTTGGAAGCGGTTTTAAGGGATTTTGGGCAAGATCAAACTAGGGCACTCAAAAACACTTTTCTCTAATTTTGGAAACTGAAGAGGGAGAGGGAATGTTATTTGATGGGGGTGAACTACACTGGGAGTATTTTGGTAACTTACCATTTATAGTAAAGATGATGGACTAAATTCAACAAGTTAAAATGGCTTGAGGAACTTATATCAAAATACTCAGATTTAGGGGAAAGTAGCTCAGATTTTTGGGGCTAAAATCTAAAAAAAACGATCTTTTAATTGGTGTGAGCTACAAGTTGCAAATTTCAAAAACGCCCTCACACTTAGAAAAACACAAAAGAAATGACCTCACATAAAATAACAAAAAAAAAACTACAGATATACACTCACATATGGAAAAATCAATAGAACTACTCACGTAAATTTTTTAAAAAAGTGAAGAAAAAAAATCAATTTTCTCAACAATTGGACTGCGATACTCTTCAACATTTGTGCTATGCACACATCACGTGAGCGAGCATACCAATCCATTCCTTTATACAAATAGGAGGAACAAAAGAATAACTGTCCATGCTACAGTAATGCTACAGTAATATTTTCTGTAGCAAACAGGATATTGGATACTATAGCATTTTTGAAAAAACTATAGCACACGGGAACCTATTCCTTTATACAAATAGGAGGATCAAAAGAATAATTGTTCATACTACAATGATGCTACAGTAATATTTAGTGTAGCATTATTACTGCAGCAAACAGGATATTGGATACTGTAGCAATTAAAAAAAAAAGCTATAGCACTCGGGAATACTGCAGAATTTTTAAAAACTGTAACAGAGGAGAGAATTCTAGCGATTCAAAAAATTACGGCAACATTAAAAATCGGGATTACTATAGTAAGAAAAAAAATAAAATGCCGTGCTTTACACGGTGTTCATGACTAGTTACAATAAAGGAAAGACACAAGAAGCTAATATAAACAGTGAAGAGAAAAGGGAATAGCGTCCCCTGCAAAACTTCAAATCAAATTAATCAAATGTACTCTGCATTTTGGACAATACTTGATACATCAATATAAAACAACACAACATTAAGACAAGACTAGGCTGATTCTAATTTCAAATACATGGCTGAAAAAAAAACATCAACTAAACATAACAGAAAACAATAAACATGTGTAAATCAGAAAGATGTTAATGAACATTGATTCATAAACACACGACTAAGTTACGGACAAGTTTCCCATTCTCAAGTTACTAACCAGTTTTCCCATTCTTATGACTACTTGTACTCTACATACGCTATTATAAACAAATTAAACAAATATACTCAACCACATCTTAGTAATGTACATTGCACACTGAAAAGAAGCCTCTCGAAATCGAAGAACTAGTGTTCTATCATCTGCACAATCCCAGCTTTGCATGTTCTTTTGTAATGACCTGTTTGGTTGCAGCGACTACAGTGAACAGTATGCTTCTCACGGTTAGATTCCTCCGTGCAACCCCGCTTCTTTTCTGGTCGCCCAGGTGGTCGCCGAAACTTCGGGGGACGCACAAGTCGCGCTTCATCATCCTCCGATAAACCCTCTGTTGCTTTGCTCCATTCACTTCTATCTGCTACAGGATGAATGGGTTGTGAATAAGCTCTACAGTAGCTTTCAACCGTAAAATACTTCTCAGCATATTCATACACATTTTTCCTAGATGATATGAGAGCTGCTACTGCATGAGAACACGGTATCCCATACAGCTGCCAGTCCCGGCAAGAACAAGTTCGAGTTCCTATATTCACAATATGCGAAAGATCAGAGGATAAAACCTCAAACTCCACTTCATCTGATCTTAAAACATGATAACTACCAGCAGTTTCAATTGCTTCTGACATCCGTTTCTCAGCTGAGGGTGTGAGTATCGATGTCCATGTCAAACCCTTTTGATGTCGCTCACTGAATTCCACCATAAGCTTGCTATGGATTTTTTCTATTACTTGAATGATAGGGAGCTCACGAGCTTCTAGAATCCATTTGTGGAATTCATCTATGTTTGAAGAAAGATGGCCATACCGTGAGCCTACGAAATGAACCAAGGCCCAAAGACAAGGTGGAACTTGCTGAATCCATTTGGCTGCATCGGAGCAAACTTCTTCAATCTCTGCTATCCTCTCTTTGAAGCCAGTG